ATTATGCAGTGACCAGAAATATACAAGCACTACTACTAGGTGATAATACGTGAAAAAGCTAATGAATACAAATTTTTAACCAGAGTTGCTTAGCTGCACTTTATAAAAATCAAGCTGTTCTTTGGTGCTGGTAGTTAGAGAATTCTATGCTGAATAGATACATCCTTGTTTCAGTCCTGTATCTGCTACAGTTAAGAAGTTACAACAGGAGAAAGAGGACCCTCTAACTGGGGCTATTCCGACCGCTGCACATGGATTTTCCATAAGTTTATACAGGGGGACAGAATAGCCCCGACTTACTCTAAGCATTTAAATTTTATATGTTTACTAGTAACACTGCTTACTGAACAATTTAAACAAGCTATATATACAATTGGCATAAACACAATAAAAATTTAATAGAGCTATAAAAGCTAAACTGAAAGCTTGCTTGATAGAATGTTATGATCAGGTAAGATAAAAGATCTGATAGGTTGATAAAAAAAAGCATTACATTTTGGGGTGAGCCTCAACAAGACAGGCCCTAGTCCCATGGGAGTAATGTCTTTTCTTTAGAATATTGCTCAATAGTTAAACCAATAAAACTTTTTCTTAACATCATTGAGTAATTTTCTTGCATTGGTCAAGGAAAAATTTCCTCTCAAACTACCTTGAATCAAAATTGAATGGCTGGGTAGCAATGATAAATCTTAAGGCTTACCGTCACCATCATCTTCAGCTTCAGGAGCTGTATTAAGACGCATATAACTGCTCCTGGCCATGAAAGAATCTCTTCAAAGACTGCAGTAGAGAGACGAACCGAGGTGGTGATTCTTAATAGGAAGAGTAGATATTTTCTTCTTGTCAATAAAGGCAAACTGGCGAATTCCCGATCCGCCCACTCACTAATGAATAATTATAGAGTAATTCTCATACAGGAAAAGAAAGGTGAGAGAACAATTATAGCTATTACAAGAAAAGTTTTGAAGCAAAAGAAAACAAAATAGAAATAAAATAATTGAACTGAGACTGTGTTGTGCACATCAGTGATATTATTACTGTTTGGTGGTATGTGAGACCCTCCCATTAATCAGGGACCATCAATCCATCAAGATCCAATGAAATTAAATATTAATTAAACAAACAATGCAGGCATTAATTATAAGAGTGATTTATAAAGTATTTGTGAGTGTCTGGTTTCACGACATTGCTCCATGGACATAATGATATCTTTAGATAAAATCCTACGCTGTTTCGGTCTGTTAGTTCTTGAAGTCGACTAAAAGAAACAAGAAACTGTTACCTATTGCTCACACTCTCATACAGGTGCACACTTTCCAGTTTCCACCCAACCACTCTTTCAATCTCACCCTCATCTCTCTACCATACTGCCTCTAGGTGTGTGCTAATAACAAAGCACATATGTCACATTTTCTCTCACTCCTCATCACTCTCTCTCCTTACAGGTGAGTTAAATACAGAAGCTATGGAAGCGTTTCCAGCAGTAGGGCTTGCCTAGAAAAAATGAGCTGATCATTTACAGTGAGATAATAAACATACATGTACATGCAATCATGTGACATTCATGTGTACATGTACATTATGGTTCACACATGCACATCACATGTAGTTCATTATCACAACCATAACAGTGTACATAATGTGGGGAAATTACATGTAGTGTGTGTGGGTGTGTGTGTGTGTTGTGTGATTAATAAACATGTAAGGTGTGAGAGATAGGGAAAGACTTACTGAAGAGCTCTCTCCTCCAAAAGCAGTA